AAACCCGGGGAGCGGGGCGGGCAGCGAGGGGCTCAGAGGTGGATTTGGATGAATGCAGTGAGTGCCGTAGCCTTAAAAATGGTAGCTCTTTTAAATAATTTATGTTAATGCTGGGTATTTAAATCTAATTTGCTTTTATTGTTCATTGTTTATTTATGTTGTTTATTCGCTGTGCTGCTCCAACAGTAAAAAGCATTAGGCGGTTTCGCTTTTGTTCCGGATCCCTTTGACTCCGTGGCTGTCAGGTACTTTCCTGATGTCATGGTGTTTGGGCTGCAGACGCTGCAGTTAACTCCAAACAAACTGTATTAACCGACTTCTGAAAATGTCATGGAAACACTTCTCATACCAACAGGCTTTGCTGCATTTTTCCTTTTTTTTTTTTTTTTTCTAAATTCTATGAATACTTTTGGAAACCCTTAAGGGGTTTCAGCTGTAACGCTTTTTTCATTTTCTGTTTTGAAGGAAACAGCCTTTTTGGACAAGACTTAATGTCCTCAAGCGTAATAGGCTAGTTACTAGAATGCCACTTGTCATTAACAGCGTTTGTAATGATTGTGAAACAAAGCCAGAGAAGGAAATGAGACGACAAAGGAAACATTGCCAGATGATTTTACTGTGAGCTCCTTACGTCACTAGGATTGGAGTTCGTGGGAACTCCTTCCAACTGTGCAAACAGAAGCCAGCAGCTAAGTTACTGTACCTGAGGTTTTTCCTTGCAGTGGGACAATCAACGTGGGTTTTTTTGGTACAAAATCATTGATTGAAATTCTGGAAGTCCGTGTGAATTATCAGTGTTAAGAAGTTGGTTGCTGCAAAATTACTATCAGGTGAAATGAAAGCAAAGATATGTGAATTAAAATCGCTCTTGGATCAGAATGTTGTTATTTTCAGAGAGTGAGGTTTAGAAGAGGTTCATTTATTCTTTTGTGCGCTCGGCTGCATGCGTGGTACGTCTCTGTGAGCAGAAGCCTAGCGTTGATGTCTGCTGCGGTCTGACAGCTGAAGTCACATTGTTCGTAGTCATGCCTCTATGGATGGAATTATAATACTCTTTTAATTTAGCTACCTTCATACTGAAAAGGTTCTTTGAGCAACCATTTTAACTGAATTTCTCCATTTGTCTCTTTTTCAGGAGACCTCATGGAAGGAGAGCTTTATTCTGCTCTCAAGGAGGAAGAGGCCTCGGAATCGGTTTCCAGTACAAACTTTAGTGGTGAAATGCACTTCTATGAGCTTGTGGAAGACACAAAAGATGGGATCTGGCTGGTACAGGTATATAAATTTGATAATTTATATATTTATCACATCCAAAATGTGTTTTAAAGGAGGAGTTTATGAGAGTAGTTAACTAGTAGTGAAAGTGTATAACAGAGATGGCGACAAAGATAAACCACATCGGGGAGATCAGAAGGAGCAAATCTCTTCAAAAAACCAAACCCAAACAAGAAAGGCTGGAAGTCACAGAGTTCCTATACAGACGGGAAGATAAAAACCTGTTGTACTGTGGATTGCTTTTTGAAAACCAGGTACTTAAGACCCTGAAAACAATCAAAGCAGCACAGACTGTGCAAGTACTTGGCCCTGGTGTTGTAAGAGCTTGTGTAATGTGTGAAGTAGGTGCATGAAGTATAGATGCTCCCAGCTGGCACAGGAGAGGTGCCTCTGGTGTTGCTCTTCCTTTTGGTTACATGATGTGCTCAGACCCAACCAGTTTCAAGTTTCTGTTTATCTGAGGGGCTTAGAGCACTTCTAAAAGTTTAAAAAAAAAAAAAAAGAAAAAAGAAGAAAAAGTTTTTTTTCTCCCAAGTGAAAATGTGTAGATGTGGCACTTTGGGACATGGTTTAGCAGGTGTGGTGGTGTTGGGGTGACGGTTGGACTTGATGATCTTAAAGGTCTTTTCCAAGCTTAATGATTCTGTGATGATTCTATGAGAAAATGATTCTATGATGATTCTATGAAAATCTCAGTTGCCTCTTTGCAAAGGCAAGATCTCGGTGTGCTGCTTCCCAGGCTAGCAGGCTGCTTCTACAGTGTATTCCGGTAGCTTAAAGTTAACCTTCCCTCAGACCTTGTGGGCCCACTGATTTTAGAGTGTGCTTCCCCAGGGCTGCGTGAGAATAAGAGAACATTTAGGAAAAAAGAAGAAAGACTTTTGCAAACAGGATTCTGAAACAATTTATCATCACTCCTGAGAACATAAGTAATCTAGACCAAAATGTAAAAATGCTTTTCTGCATTAACTTCTCTATTGATAAGTGATTTTTTTTTTTTTTAAGGCCCAAGTCCCCTGCTAACAGCCACATCAGGCAATCAGAATCCTCCACCAGATAATTGTTCAGTTGACAGCTCTCCTGCCTGGTTTGTCTGGTCTCCTCACTGCATGTTTTCTATTTGAATAGATTATCAAGATTTAATGACTTCCTGTTATTAGACCTGCACTGTCACCACATCAGATCTCACCTAAAATAGACAGTGAGAGGACAGATTACCTTCACAGTCAAAATGACATGTGTGTTTTGGGAAGGATACATTTGGAGTTTATTGAATCTAAGTTTCAGGTTTAAATCATACCGAAGGTGATTCTTCAAGCAGGGAGAGAGCGTTGAAAGGGAGTTTACACATCTCCAAGGTAGCTGACAAATACGAGCATGAGTATGCTATGAAAAACCGTCCCTCCTCCCCATACGGCTCAAAAGAGTAAAATATTGCAGTTCTGTTGTCTGTTGCTTGCAGAATTTTAATCGTAATATATTTTCAGCTAGCTTCATAATAGCAGATCAGATAGGCTGTGTTTTGATATCTCTAGTGTGATGAATGTTGTCATCATTCTGGGAATATTTGCACAGCTATTCAGTTGGTCACAATAGCTGTGGAAAAAAAAATTAGTGGAATTTACTGAATAATTTACTTGCTGAATGCTATTTGTTTCTCGACAATAAAAACCACTAGACATGTCAAATTTCTTTGTTTTCATTCTTGCCTTTTGAGTTTTCATCACTTTGAGTTTTCATGTGGTCCCTTCCCCACCATAACTCTTGCCTGGGTAACTCCTGTGCTGGATTCTTTGTGTCCTTTCACAGGTTTTCCTGTGTTCTTTTCTTCTCTTAGACCTCATCCCTCCAAAGCTGTTTTTTATCATCACTTCCCTGTTCTAATTCTTGATTACCCCCCCTTGCCCGTTCTCCTTTACCATTAGGCATTCTGTGGAAACTTTACAGTTAATTAATGAGCTCGATGATTAGGCAGGGGACAGTACAAGAGTGAGGATGCCTCATGAATGGGTTGACCTCCTCAGTGACCACAGAGAAGGTCAGAGCATTCCCCTGCTCTGTTGTTGCTGCTGGCTGGGAAGGAGAAAGGGTCTCCAGATCCTTTCAGGATCCGACCCTGAATCGCTGTTGCATGGGGACTGCTGGAAAGCAGTAGAGGGACAAGGACAGTTCTGGCTCAGCTGGCACAGTGGCTGTTGGTTGAGTTGGTTTTGAAGACCTTACCATGATGTGTCGGAGGATGGGAACTTTGAAGATTATTTTTATTTTCCAGTGCGTGTAAATGAAATTTCTGGGGTAGCACAGGCTGGTAATGTGATGGCCATCACTGCATGCAAAGAATCAAAGGAAAAAGAGGAAACGGTTATTATTTCTTGATGTGTTTGACACAAATTCAGATGTGAATTTATCATTTAGAGCCAGCAAGATGAACTCCTTGAAGAAAGTCAAAGTCTATACACAAGGAAACAGAGTTTTGTGGCTTTGTTTCTTTATTTTCTGGAAATCCACATGCAAAGTATCCAGGTTCAGTGGTAATTTCTTTACCAGTGTAGCCGTTCACAGGTGCCCTCTTCTATGTGTGGCTTCCGTAGAGCCACAGACAGCAGCATGTTCTTTCTCCTATTAGCTCATGATCTCATCACCTTCCCCTTTATGCCTTTCTTCTCGCTTGCCAGCTGCTGTTGTGCACTTCTTTGGCTGGCAAGGAGGATGAGTGGTAGTTTTTAGAGCTGCTTCTCTTGTTGGTAAAGGAGTAACACGTAACGTTCTGGCTTTTCCAGACTCTGCAGTAGCTCATGCTCTCTGGTTAGTCTCTAGAAACCTGTCACATCCAACAATATCGTAGACATTACGATTTTTTAAAAACATACAATAAATGATCTACAGATAAAAATCCTCTTTGAATGAGCTTAAAATCTAAAGCACTGTATATTTTTATTTTAAAAGTCTCTAACATGGTGGTAGAGAGAAGAAAAGGGAACTTTCTTCCTGGCATTGAAGCAGGAGGACAAAGATTTTGATGGTGTCTGGTAGAGGTGCAAAGAACATTATTACGGATATAAAATGTTGCAGTCTGTTCTGCATCTCACCTTCTTGTTCAGGTGGTGTAGTCACAGAGAAAGGGATGTGCCTGCAGGATGTTGGTGGTGGTTTGTTCGTTCATTCTTCTTTCTTTCTTTTGCTTGCATGCAGGATGATTAATTTTCGTATTTGCTGTTTTAATTTTGCCAGGTGATCAGTTGTTCTCACTACAAGGTAGTTAAGTAGAAACGCTCAATTCTTTTAAAGTACATCATTCAGTATTTCCAGTAGCCCTTCAGGTTCATTTACCATAGGATACCTGATGTTAACTTTCATTGTCCTTCCTGAGAGCCTTCATATCCAGACGAGGGTGCGGAATACCATCAGGTAGAATGTAATAGTTGTCGTATTGCCTGCATATCTGTGATAATTCATTACAGAAGCTCATTTATTCTCAAACTCTGACCTGACTGACAGCTGAACTGAGCTATTCAGTCTGGTGCATAGATCACCCCACCCGCCTTGAGAAACTACGCGTAATGTTGAGGTGGTTAATTTTTGCACACTGATGGATGTACTCTTCCGTCTTTGCCTATTTTGATTTAAGTTCTCACGGTCTCTTTCCCAGAAAAGAAAAGCAAAAAATCTCCAGACATCTTTAGTCCGTGTGGATGGATTCTGAACCAGTTGTGAGTTCTTGGGAAGGAGCGACTATGCGGAAATTCAGTCTCATCAGCACAATGCTGAATAATAAAGAGAGAGTGAGATGTCTCAGAATTAGTAAAAGTACAGGCAGTCATGTAGAAACTTACTGACGTTATCTGGAATGAGTGGACTTTTTTCCACACTTCTAATAAATAACTCACCAGTCCATTTATAATTAATTGTATTTCTAAATGAGAATTGTCCTAATATTTTTACTTCTGCTTTATCTATGGGAGGATAGTTTGGAACATAGCTGTTGATTGTAAAGGGTTCTGTGAAAAGCACATAAGAAGCTTAATGAGTAAACCAGGAGTTTTGAACCTTTGTATCTTTGTGGATCCCTAAAAATCTTCCAGGGAGTGCATGGACTCTGTACAGTAATATTAGGCTTCCTTTGCTCATTTACCCTCTGCAGGCACTGTGGAGGAGTTCATGCACCTCCAGGGGTCTGAGTACCGTAGACTGGAAACTGCCAGACCAGACTGACAATTCACACATACGTACAATCTTACCAGTTCATTAATGAAGTTAGAAATCCATTTTGCCTGTAGCAAAATCACACAGTTTTTTCCAGTTCAAAGGCCAGTGCTACTTCATGCAGTGACTGGCTTGCGGAGGCTGGGTGAGGATTGCCTGCTCCCGAGAGAACTACATGCATGTGTGCGTGCACAGCAGGAGTGGTGTCTCTTATTTAACAGGTTTTGTTCTTCCTGATGGCTTAAAGCCCATCACAGTGCCCTAGTGCCCAGAGCTGATGAGCACTTGGAGTTGTTGCCTTTGTGGCTAAGCTGTAAAACTGAGTTTTGACTCTTTGTGCGTATTCACAATTGTGTGCTCTTGGTATGAGCAGGTGTGCCTGACACCTGCTATCCTGGCTAAATTCCAGCTTGGATAATGCCTGAGCTTCCCTTGGTGCTTTCATGTGGATACGCTTTTCTCTTCCTTTCGCGGCACATGCTCCTAACCCCATAAAGGATGAGAGATGCTGCCAATGTGAATATTTTTCCATCACTAAAAATATGTATAAAAAACACACGTGCATCGCTTAGCTCGGAGCTTCTGCTGTATTGTGATGATCTCACATTTCTTGCTTTCTGCTTCGAGTTCTGTTCCTTTCTCCGGCGCGCTGTATCAAACACAAATGGAATGACTCTTAATCAAACTAGCAAGGCACAAGGGCTGTTGAAAGTGCAGAAGTAGACAGTTCATCAGAGTGTTTTTCCCTTTAGCGTTAGTCAGGTTACTTTAGGTTCTTGAGGCTGTTAGAAGCAGTC